ATATAAAATTCGCTATCAATTATACTTTCACTACAAAATTAAATTTTCTTTGATAAATGTTTCCTTACCTAGTAGTTTTTTTTTAGTTCTGTTTTGGCAATCTGACTTTTGTATTATATTTTTTTCTATGTATCAATGACTCTATTTTTTCAGTATGCCCAATCTGCATGCAAGACTTTTCACTTGTCTTATTTCTTTGACTGCAGAACCATTTAAGTACCAAAGTTGGAATTGTTTAGTAAAAATACAGGTGCAATTTATGTGCAATTTATTTTTCCAATATTTCAGACCTCACCACATGTTCTCATGCAATACTTCATCTGTTAAATGTTTTCTCAATTGTTTCTATTTAATGTTTTAGGAAAGGAAACCCAGATAGATCATTCTCACATAGAAATATTGTATGAGAACATTTGGTGAAGTCCATTAGTTTATCTAGCTTGAATATAAGTTCTTCACTTACTTTTGCTTTAGTTTTCTTCATGCAACCTTTTCTACTTTTACCCAAAGGAATTTTATTCTATAATAAAACAGGTTTACATTTCTTCAAACTTAAGTTAAATTTTTTAATTTTTTAAAGTTAAGCTTGGTCAGGAATGTGTGCGATCGCATGACATTATATGACCACACAAATAGTATTTTGTTTTGACCTTGAAAATTAGCATTTTAAAAAGGCACAGCATAGAAAAGATTTTAAATTGTAAGTTAAAAATAAATAACATCAAAACCTTTATATTTACTAACGTTTTTTATAATAGCAAAACGCTTTTAAATTAAGTAATAATTTATTGTTACTTTATTTAAAATTATTTATTAATTTTTATTTCAAGTAATCAAAAGATGATAAAGACGCTAATGTACCCAATCTTTTAAATATCTAATTCATTTTGATCTGCCAGGAATGTCTTTTTAAAAAAGATTCCTAAAAATTGAATTAATGGGATCTAATGGTGTTAATGGGATCCTAGGTCTTCCTCCACTCTCACTTTTTTTTCAAAATTTTACCTTTATCAACTAAAAAATCAGAAACATCAGTAACCATTTATTGTTATAATTAAGGAGTTTACGAATTAAAAAATCTTTACTAGGATGATACTAAGATGCAATAATAACTTGACTTTAAACAGAATTGCACCATCAAATAAATCATGCATTATTATCAGCAGAATTGTTACCAGCAGGATGTTAATAGTTCAAATGCTTTAAGTTAAGGGGCGCTTCATACCGCACTTTGAAATGTACCATTTTTAAGCTGCTCAATAAGTTGCTCATATAATTGTTGTGTTCTCATTGTAAGTGAATATTCGCAAAAAACTTTTTGCACTTCATTCCGAGTTGTCATACACAAATCATAAGCATATAAAGCACTGCTAAGATTTTCCATGTATCCGAGAATTGCATGTAACCGAGAATTGCATGTAATTGTCACAAGCAACTTGTGACAAAAAGCAACAAAAAACAGTTAAAACATTATCATGTAATTCTTTTAATTACTTAATAACTTCCATAACAGGATCAGTGGTGTATTGCCTAATGTCTTCTGAATGAGCTAAGGCTAACAAATGAATATTGCTTAATGCAGAATTTGCAGCCGGTGGAGAGTTTTTTATAGTGAAATAAAATGTACCTAACTTGTGTATTCCAGTTTTGGATCCGAGTGGATTTGTTGTTTCTACTTCTTCAAAATAAATCTGAATAAATATATGAACACTGTTAGGAAAATGTTTGCCATATGTTTTTAGCTGTCTGCCATGCTTACCATCTAACCAATCTTTTACTTTATCGTTGTCGACTCATTGTTTGTTTTTAGAATTTTCCAAGTCTCAGGTTGTTGCAAAACCAACTTCAAGGCTTTCTTTATTGGTATCAAGTGAAATTAATTTTTCACACACACCTGCATTTGTTGCTTTGTTAATCTTTCTCGCTTAACATTCCACTGATCTCCTATTAAATGTGTTTCAGGGTCAACATAAATGCCTCTTATTTCAAGATAACTTAACATTTTATACTGAGTATCAATTCCTTTAAAAGGATTTTTTCAGTTGTTAAACTCTTCTGAAAGAGTATTCAATAATGCTAAATCACATTCTTAAGTTTTTAACCCAACATTTGTTTTGGCAAGCAGATAATTAATAATATCATTTAGCAACTTTGGCTATCCATTATGAACTAAATTGTACTTAGAGAAATAGAGCTAGAAATTAAAAATTTTTTAATGCTGCCTGTGAAACACCATGCTCATCTTCAATAGGCGCAATAAAAACACTTTCTTTTGTTAAACTTTCAAAAAATGGAACTTCATTTAATCTTTGCTTAGCATTCATTTTTTGAACTTTCCATGGAAATAATTTTATGATTTTATATAGTATCATAACACATATGAGTTTTTTTAATGTGTTTATGTAACACTTTATAAAGTGTGAATGTGCGCATACAACCATCAACATTGCATCATAAAAAACATGGTTCAAACAATAGGTACATGTTTTTTAAATAAATGTAATCATTAGTGGTTTGAAAGTTTTTTGTGCACAAGTAACAATTTAGTTGTAAAAAACCCTGTAAATTTTGATGCAAAAACTTTTTTTATTAAATCTGTTTCACTAATGCAATAATCATCTTCAATCTGTTTTTATTTTCACATCTCCCAGGTCTACGTAACTGGATGGCTCTGTTGGTCACTTTTTGCGATCGTTGTGTCGCATATGCAAAAAAAATCTGTTTCACTAATGCAATGTGCAGCAATACAAGAGTGCAAAAACAAATTTATTTTTTAAAGTAATATAAACCAATTAAAACATCTTTCTGATTAAAATTGATTAAAATTGATCATTGTAATTTATATATAAATAAATTTTTTTTTAAATAAAAACAAAAAAATTAGTTCTATGTTTAATAATCCATAAAATATAATTTTATTGAATCATTTACATTTTTTCTGCTCAATTATGGCTTGAATTTTAATTGCCTAGCCCATTTTGATGCCCATGGCATGCAACAGTAGTGCATTTAACCCCATACAAGTTAAGCCACTGATTTCTTCACTTAAAATAAAAATCAATAATATATTGATTAAAAATTGATATAGCAACTAAGTATTTGTGTGTTTTTTTTAAATAGAGTTAAAAGATATTGTTTTCATATTTAAATGTTAACTAATCAAATATATTTAGTATAAATTGTTATAATAAAAGACCTATTACATATTTACATTTACTATGTAAATGATATAGCAAATAATTACTTGATATTTGATATCATGACATCTTTTTATCTATACACATATACATAAAAATTATGATTCAAACAAAAGATGCGTATAAAGCATATTTATTTCTTTAAAAGAATTTTTAATGTACTTGCGTGAAAAAGATAGCTTACTTTTAAGCTTTTCTGCAGCATCTACAAATATTCCTTTTGATATTTAATATTCTGTTTTTCTGCAGCATCTACAGATATTCCTTTTGATATTAAATATTATGCTAACTGTGATTCTGACAATGAAAAATTTATGCTCATTTTTAATGTAAGTTTTATAAATAACAGAATGCAAGCACATGCAACCTGGGTAAAAAAATGTAATAGCGCGATTGTTGTTTGTGCGGAAAATACTTTATTATTTTCAGGCAATTTACCTGATGTTTCTAATAAAGCACCTAAATGTTTTGGTAGAAAAGTTAAGGTAAACTACAAAGTTCTGATAAAAACAAAAAAAAAATAAAAGAGAAAGATATAAAAGTTATCAAGAAAGCCCATCCCTAAAAAAGCAAAACTAACAGTTGTAAAAAGTTGCGCTCTAAAAAGAAAACTTATAAATCAATCTCCAAGATCGAACTCATTTTTAAAAAAGGTTTAACAAAGAAAAAAACCATTGAAAACAAATATAGAAATTCTACTAATTTAAAAGGAAAAACAAGCTGATGTTTGTTCTATTCTTTCAAATAGTTCTGCTTGTAAAGTAAATTTAGGTCTTCCATCTGTATGTTCGAAGTGATGTTTTAGCAGTTTAGTAAAGTTTTATAGTGAAGATAAAGTTTCCTAAACATCACCCAGCAAAAAAAATTTCACTCAATTTCGATTATCTGACATAAAAACAAGCAATATTCTAATATGTCATTTATATTACAGGTTAAAGGAAGCAAATCTGTTTCATACCTTTACATGCAACGATATAAAACAGATTGAAAATTACTAGCAAACTGTTGATACATTGATTGAGTGAAGAAAACCTGAAACTAAAATATCAAAAAGATTTTAAAGAAGTCTACTGAAATAGAACTTATCTAGCATGTATCAGCAATCCAATCAAAAATTTTCAAGAAGTTGAAGAAAGTCTCAATGAATATTGATTCTGAGTGTTTTTTTATTAAAATGAACCACAAACTGCTCATTTTGATAAAAACCAAATATCATGATCTTTGCAGTCTGGGACGTTGTGTTAAAACATTTGCTGCAGTTTATGATTAAACTGATCATATAAAGTCTTTCAAACTCTCTACCAAGAGTAAAAAGAGTTAAAGAAGTACATAAGTTCAGCAATGTCATTTCTCAGTTTAAAAACAAAAGCATAATGGCTGCAGTGGTTGTGTTTGAAAAAATTCTTTTGGCCTTTCTTTGTAGCATTTCACAAGAAAGAAGTAGTTGACAAAATTTGGAATTACTGTTAAGTGAATAGCAACACTGAGAATCAAATCTAGTCTATGCAAAATTAAATAGGCAGCAGATTTTGGGTAAACATCACAAGTTTTAAAATTATCTGTGATTCTTGTCGGTAGACAATGCAAGACAGGAAAAAGCATTTATTTATAGGCTTTGTTTTCTATTTAACTTTTTTTTAAAAGTGATAATTTAGGATTTGATTTGCTCATAAATTATTTAGGATGAAATTAAATAGAAATCAAAGCCTATGAATAAATATAGCACCAGCCACTAAAAATAACACAATTAATGTGCAATATAACTATATTTTGATGAAAGGTTATTTTATGTGTTATGTTTAG